ATGGTATTTATAAGAAATGATTACAATATTTATATTTGTTCCAGTTTTGAACTTATTACATTTTATGTTTTACTACATTAATTGGTAAATCCAAAAAAATTTGCATCATCCATAAAATACAAATTTAATCTATTTTTAATTCTTTTTAATAATCACGTACTCTCCTTATGGTTTCAAGTAATATACAAGACCCAAAAATAATATTTGTAAATAAACCAAAACAATAAATGAGTATTTTTATTTTTAACTAGGATTTCATGTTTATATATGTACATAAAAACATTTTAATTTTGTTTCATAAATGTATTTTTATTTCAAGTTTATGTTTATGTTTCATTGCAGCCATACTTTAGTTTATTGTGCCAAATAAACCATGGAGTTAGCAGCGTGAACTTTGTATATTTTCCGTAAACTATCTCACCCCTGTTGGGGGTCACTCTCGTTCAGCCCAGTATGGGTGCATTTCAACATTACTATAGATATGATAGCATGAAAGCTTTACAGTAGTTGAACATCATTTCTTTGAACTTTCAAACAAGTTTATTTCAATATATGTCCGTGTATATTGTTTCACTATAGAGACAAAACTAATTGCCACTACTAGCAAATATATGAAACAGTTTACAGTACAGGTGATTTCAATAAACACCGCCTGACCCTAGTTACTTGATACATCCTGTTAGAAGAGATTACCAAATGATACAGACACCATAAATTACAAAGAAAATTACTTTACAGCACTTAAAAGATTAATCCTGGTAACATTCCGCTCATTATAGGCAAGATTTATGTTGGAATTTGAAACTTAAGTTCTTCAGTGTATTGAGACCCCAGCTGTGAGAATGTCATAGCTTCACTGTATTTATTGAGACAAATGTATTTAGTCTGTTTCACTACCAACATATGGGTTTTATTGTTGTCAGTTGTACACTTAGTTTTCAAACCATTTGCAAAATGGCAGAATAAACTTTATATATATATATCAGTTAGACTGTTTTAATTCTAAAGCAATAACAACAGAAGTGTGAGTCTTACTACAAAGTAAAGATTGTAAGAAGGAAAAATATAAAATGCTTATGTGGTACTGGTACTAGTAGTAGTATGTACAACTCACACAAGTTTATCATTCTAAATATTGAATTATATTATTATTATTATTATGAACTAAATATAAAATTACGTTAGATTATTGAACTTAAAACTACAAATTTAAATGTAAAAGAATATAAAAAATCACAAACTCTTTCAGTTCAAAGTGCTAAGCCTAATTCATGTAAAGACTTTGCACTCCTCACTCAATAGCTTTTAACCCTAACAATCGTGGATCAACTTCTTTCCTAATAA